CCCCTTGTCTCCAGTACCTTTCATGTGGCTCTCATCTTGGTCTGACCCCGGCGGGGTGGCTTTACAAGCTGCCCATTGTGCTAAAGGGTGCTGGGCAGGCAGGGAGGTGTGTGCTCTGGGATTTTGGAACAAAGGCTTCTAAACAGCAGAGAAAAATCACTACATGTTCTGGGAAGGAGAAAAACTTCAGCATAGGGGTGGAAGGTGAGGGGTGGAGAAGAGGGGAACAGGGGGTGAGGGATGGGGGTGTTCCTTGTAGCCTGTGGGAATAGCCAAGCTCAGAAGTTAAGTGTATTTGCAGGGATGGGGTGGGGGGTGACATACATTGGGCCTGAGGACAAGGGGCTCTTAGGCCAGTGACAGAGTTCTCTCCAAGACCACATGGATGAAATCTGAACAGCTTCACAGCACCCACAGCCCCTCCCCCAATGAACTACGGAGACCCAACCCCAGGAGGTCTTCTCACTCAGGGATTCCATGACGAGAGCCTCTCGGTGGGTGCAGAGGTCACATTGGCCTTGGGACATGAGGAGGGATAGGGACCGGGCCCTTAGGCCTGAGAGGTCTGTGAAGACCGTGGTGGTGTGGTCTAGACTGTTCCGCTGAACGTCCAATGACTTTGTTTCTCTGGGCTTGGTAAGAGAGGCCCTGAAGCTGGGGGCTCTGGCTAGGCTTCCCTGTGACTTTTCAAGAGCAGAGTGACCCTAGGCAGACGTCTGCCATCCCTGAGCCTTGGTTTCCCTGTCTGGGTGACAACAAAGGAAAACATGCACCAGCTGAGAGTCCCTCCCAGTTATTGCTCTAGGTCTCAGTCAGCCTGGAAGACTCACAGGGACTGTGAGCTGAGTGAGTGGGCTGAGACCACTTCTGTAGAGGAATGAAGTCTGGAATTCTCCTACCTGCCCTGAAAGGAAAGTCTCCAGGAGGGGGCAGAGGGTCGGGACATCTAGCAGTGTCTGAAGAATGTCTAGGAGAAGCCATGCACTCTGACCCCTGGAAGGGTCTCCCCAGGGGCACCTCAGATGTGTCTTTGACTGACAGGCCTGGGATTACCTCCTGTTTCCATTTTATAGATGAGAAAGCACCTCCACTGTTTCTCCAGATCTCAGGGAAGCCCTTCTCACAGAGGCTAAAGAGGGAGCTGGACCCCTCCCCGGTCCCCAGCTTCAGGCTATGAGCTCCTAGACATAAGGGTAGAGTCCTGTTCCCTGCTGTCTCTTCAGCTTGGTGCTCCTAGGCCCGCATACGTGTCCCTGGGACGAGAATAAGGGACAATGAAATGATATAAATCCCTTGGGCCTAAGGTCCTCTCTGCCCTAGGGACCAAGTAGGGCCGAGTATTCCACTTTCCGATCCTCAGCTTAGAGCTCCCGCGTGGGACTGGCAATTTCCTGGGGATAGGGGTGGAAAACTAGCCCCAGCCAGTACCTCTATCAGCTTTGTCCCTGGCAACCGCTTTTCCTGGGCCACCCCCCGCTTCTTCAGCAGGGGTTCATGTTCAATCTAGAAAGGGCTAGAAAGAAATGTGTCTCAGGCCCTGGCACAAGGCTGCCTTTGTGTGGAGGTCAGATTCCAGCATGGGTTGGCACCACTGCTCCCTGGGAGTCCAGCCTAGGGACTGGAGTGTAGGACCCTCAAACCTCTTGGGAACTCAAGGAGACCAAGGTGCCTCTGAGGGGCCCATGCTGAACCTTGACTCCTGCAGGCAGGAATCCAGGAGCTCCGTGGCTAGGTGGTGGGGAAGCTGGGGGAGCCCGGGGCTGGTCTGACTCCTGTGTGCAACAGAGTTGAGGCTCCAAAGAGACCAAATGGGTCGTTGGGAGGGCTACCTCTAGACAGCTGTTTGGCTCAGAGAAAATCACTTCTGACTGTGAAGACCTTCGTCGTTCACCCTGGCACTCAGGAGACTGAGGCAGGAGAATAGCAAGTTTAAGGACTGCTGGGCTACTGAGTGAGACAAGAGAGACACAGAGAGACACAGAGAGAAACAGACAAAGAGAGACAGACAGACACAGACAGAGAGGGACAGGCAGGGAGAAGAAAATTAGGAAATCCCTAACCTTTACTTCCTTTCCCTTCTCTTCTCCCCCCTTTTTTTTTCTCAGCTAGAAGCGGGGTATGCATCTCCCTCTCTGTGGCCGGGATGAAGAAAATGAAGACATACCTTCCTTCTGAGCCTGGCCACAGTAATTGCTCAACAAGGGGCAGCTGTACGTACGTGTTGCTAGAGAGGATTAGGGAACCCCATAAATGCCCCTCCCAGGACTGTGGAATACACCACGGCCCCCATTCAATCTTCTGAGTGGCTTCACAACCTACCCACTCAACCTGTGACCCTTCCCTTCCCCTTCCTTCAATGGCCACCATAGCCCAGCCTCCCCACAACCCCCACCCCACCCCACAAGCTTTCTTGACTAGGGAGACAAAGGATGCCAGGCCGAAGCTCAAGGTCTAGCATGCTGATAATGGACACTCAAGCCAGTAACACCTGGAGCTCCAGGCTGCCCCACCAACATCCTCCCAACCCCAGGGACGTGACTCGTGTGAGTGGGGCCTGGAGGCGCCATGCACCCCCTATTCTGGGTGCCTGCTGACAGCCATGGGGACAAGAGAACCCCCCTCCCATCTCCAGTCTGTCAGAGCAAGAGGGTCAGAGAATAGCACAGGATTCTCCCCAACTGGAATGCCCACAGTAGCCCCCGCTCTCCAGGAGCAGGCCTGCCTTCTTCTGTCCAAGCTGTGCCTCAGAGTCTGTCTGCATCCGGGCTGGGAGCTCTTGGAGGGCAGGAAGCAAGCTCGTCAACTTCCCCATCTCTAGGGCCCAGAGCACAAGGCAAGGTCGAGAGTCTGCACAGGGCCAGTCGGCCTACCTCTGACAGATGCCCACAGTCCCAGCATCCTGTAACCCCACCCTACATTAACTGCAGTGTCTTCTCTGCATCCCACCTGTCCCCAGCTGCTCAGGGAGCACTGCAGATGTCACCTTCACTGGGATTCCAAACCCAGCTTGTTCAGACCTGCTTTTTCCTGCGCCTGCAGCTGCTAAAGCAACCGAGAGGCCCACAGGCTAGGAGAGGCCCACAGGCTAGGAGAGGCCCACAGGCTAGGGTCGCACCTCTCAAGGAAGCCAGGTGGCAGGAGTCCTTCCGAGCTCTCTCATATCAGCTCCCTTCCTTCTCTTTCAGCTGCCAGGAATGCCAATGCTAGCACCCACTCCCAGGACCTCTGAACCCTGGGGCTTTCCTGGCCTAAGTCACTGGGTCTGGCATCTGCCCTTCAATTGCCTCAGGAAGCAATTAAACATCTGCACAAGCAAGCTGGGTTCATGCAGGGAGAGGACACTGTGGGAGGGGGGAGAGGGAAGAAGTGGGGGCAGGACACTGCCCTGGGAACCTGACAGGTCAGTGAGGTGCCTGGGCTCTTAGGAGCATGGCAGTGAAGCCTGCCTGGGCCTCCTGTCGGCTTTGCCTATGCCTCTCTGTAGCCTAGCGGACCACTCTCTGAAACCAGGGACTGGGCTGGCTCCTTCTTTACCTCTGACGTGAGGATGTGTTAAAGACTCACAGAAGGCACTCTCAGCCCTGAGGTGACACTCTTGCCAAGGCTACCAGGGCAGCCTGTCAAGTGGCAGCAGCAAGCCTACTCAGTGATGGGACTGGAATGCCCAGAATCCTGGTCCAGGGCCTCTCTGCCTTATACTTCTTCGATTGTTGTTTTTGGATATTTTATATTTATTTAGAGACATGGCTGACTGGGATTAGACAAACAACAATTACCCTGGTTCATCCTAAGTGTTGAGACCACAGGTGTGTGTTAGTATGCCTAAAATAAATACTTTCTGCCTCAGTTTCCCTGCTGAAAATGGGTAGTGAATTCTCTCTAGCCTGGGACAATACCGTGGCACAGCAGAGAAACCTGGAGCTTGCTGTTGTCTTTTAGCCATTCTGGGACCCCAGCAAAGTCTACTCATCAGTAATAAGAGGAGAGAGGATTTGGGACAGAGGTCACAGGCCTCCTCCTCTTTCTCTAGTCCCTGGTTCTACCATCACTCTGTGGCTCAGGGACTTAGAAACGGCCCCATCTTCCCCACCTTGCCTCATTGCACACACTGCCAGCCACACTTCCAGACTTGTAGACAATTTAGCCATGAGGAAAACACAGGCATACCCAAAAGGAAGGCCATACAACAAAATACACCGCCACTTTAGATGTAGCCACTGATAGCAACTCGCCTTCGACGCCAACCAGTTTCCACTTAGATGGCCACCGGACTGTCTGCCTGTCTACTGGAGGAGCCTACAGCTGGCAACCCTCCTCCTGGGAAGACCAGCAACCCAATGCTCAGTCCTGAAAGGTGACCCAGGCCAGGGACAGTTAGGGCTCAAGGACAGCATAGCGAGTGGGAGAGTGGGACGCTGGGAACCCCTGAGCGGGTCGCCTCTTGTTTCTCTTTTTATTTTGAAATACTGCTTCTATTGCAGTCTTGTTCTGCACACAAAAGTGAGCAAGTGTTGTAATGATACAATTATCATCCAGATAAGTTTTCAGGGTGAATGATAACTGCCTTCCTTGGGGCACGCTTATCTGAGGGGAAGGTCACCAAGCATGTGACGACCCAGCTTCCAAAACAAACTGTGCTAGCTCGCACCCGTGTGCTTGCCCCATGCTCCAGTTAACTAAGTACAAACTCCCAAAGGTGTTGCTTATCTGGCTGGCCCCCTTCCCGTCCATTGGCAGCCTAAGCCTGCAGGCCCTACCTGCTAGGGTCTTCCCATTGTTGGCCCTTCTTCCCAACCTTAGGGAAGAAGGAATCAGCCCCCTGTGATCTTCCATCATGCCTGGCCCTGATGGCTATTGTGGCAACCGTGAGTGAAGAGTTAGATGGGGGTCCCCGAAATGTGGACATAACAAGATTTCCATGGATTCTCCCCAAGTTCTGCTCTGTGGCTCCCAGCAGCCCCCACGACTCCCTCCAGGAACACTCCATTACGCGAGCTCACCTGCGGCATCTGGCGGTGAGGCCTTCTCTGGAGCTGAGAACTCAAGGCCATGAGTTGAGGACTCTTTGGGGAGCGTTCGCCCATCAATTAAGGAGCTGGAGAGTGGGGGGGGGAGATGGGTAACATAGGTTAGAACATTTTGTGTCCTACCCCACTTCCTCCAGTCCCCTCCCTTTCCCTCTGTAGGAGAATTCAAGTCTTGCTATCTCCTGATTTGTTGTGTGTCACCGTGCAAGATCATATCTCCCCATGAGTCTCAGTGTCCCCATCCAGACAGGAAAAGGGTTGGACTCTGAGCCTCTGTTCTAAGAGAGTATAGACTTGAAGGTTTGGGGGAAGCCTCTGCCCCCTCTTTCTTCACTCCTACTAGTCCTGGGGCATGCTGAGAGACTCAGAGTGGAGCCGGGGATGTTCTTAGAACTCTTAGAACTCTTGGAATCCTAAGGGGCTCCCTCTTCCATGGTGCCTGCCTGAAATCTTGACAACCCCATGGGGAGGACATGGGCCAGGGAGAGCTGGGGCTGTGCCTGTCCTAGCTCTTCCTGGCCTCCCAGGCTAGGTGGCTCTGAGCAAGGGTCTCTTCTACCCATTGGGACAGGCTGGCTCCTGGATTTCTGTTATCACCTCAGCCTCGCTGGCCCTCAGCACCAGTCCTTCCCAGGGTTTACCTGGTCACACTTCCCCTTCCTGGGTGGATAAGCAGAGGGATTTCAGTACACACCCCTCAGGACTACACAGGGCTGCAAGACTGTACAACAGCAGGAATGCATCACCGTCATAGCTACGTAAACAGAACCTACTGGAATTGTATAGTGGGTAACCTGTATGGCTGGTCAGAGATGCCTTAAGGATATGACCCTGGCTCCAGGCAGTCCCATTTGTTTGTCAGGGTGGGGTTACCCCCATCCCTGCCCAGTTCCCAGGAGGCCAGGTCAATTACCTGCTTTGTACATTCGGCCTTATTCCTTGCTGGTACTGCAGGTTCAAACTAAGTTTTCGAACACACCCAGGCCCACCTGGTAGCAGTCTGCTTAAGAACCTGAGACACGTGTTAAAGCAAAAGACACAGGAAGTTATGAAAGGAGAAGGATTGGAAGGGGAAGGAGAGGACTGAGGTGGTCTTTTATATGTGCACACTGTGAGTAAGGCGTGGTCCACAGGACTGGAGCATCCCTTCTGTTGCTATGACGACCTGGCACAGAAGGGGAGGACTGAATTGGCTCCTTCTTGGGAACACTGTGAGCAAGGCATGGTCCATAGGGCTGGAGCATCTTCCCTGTTGCTATGGTTCCGGAGAGGACGGAAAGGATGACAAAGCTGAGGTTTCTGAGCATTCTGGATTTACTGACTTTGGAGCAGCTGTCACAGCACTGTTCTCTAGGGCTGCTGGGTGGAAGCTGCCCCACTTGGGGATGAAGACGGTAGTGTTACCAAACAAGCCTGTGAGTTCCCTTAGTGAGGTGGGGCCTCACTGTACCCAGAGCTGACCCAGCCTTCAAATCACTGACTGGAGAGCCACTACAAAATCAGTCTGCAATCGCCCACCATCTGGCTCAGCAGCCTCCTCTAAACAGGTCTGTTTGTAAGTCCCCACCATTAAAGGTACGGTGCACTTCTGCTCCTAATTAAATTTGGGCGAACTGGTTCTGGATTTCCCAAAGCTAAACAGAGGAAATAAAAACACAGCTACCCGGGGAAATCAGAAGGCTAAGTTACTTATTCTGAAGAGAGTCTTCTGGTTAGAGAGCGTGGGAAGCCCGTCTTCCCTGAACAAGCCTTTCCTGAGCTCCAGCGTGCCATCTGTAAGCCTAGTCTTTTCCCCACCCTTCAGGTGGGCCCTGTTCTTCCACCAAGACCTGGTGGGAGGGGACACCTCACTTACCCTTGCAGTTGGCCCACAGAGGGTCAAATTCAACCCTCATGTCCTGGGCTTAAAGAATTTGGGGTACCTAGGTTAAGAAAAAAAGTCAAAAAGGAGTTTTCCTTACAAATAGAGCTGATCTTCCCTTGCAAGGACCTTGGCAATTGAGGCCCTTGGAGGGACTGTCTGTCACCTGAAGTCAAATGTGTTTAACGTCCTTCCTGCTCACTCAACATTCTAGCTAGTGGCAGAAGTGGGTTCAACTGCATTAGGGCCAGAGTCACCCACACAAATCACCAGCATGGCACTGCCTCACACAGCTTGCCTGTTTTCAACCCTTTCCTGCATGCATTTTCGCCACAGGCAATGTTGGTGCCTAGCAAGGCATCATTTTTATAGCAGGCTAGGAAAGAAGAGGTCTGAGTGCTCCCATACTACAGGTTTTTGTCAGGAGAGAGACCTCGGGATGAAACGGTTCATGTTCCTCTCCAAAAGCACTGTGAAGCCCTGAATGGCGGAACACTCACCTAGCGTGCGTGAGCAACCCCCCCCCCCCTCTCCACCCCCCGTTCCATCCCCAGCACTAAGGGGAAACCTGGCAGCTCTCTGTTCTTTCCAGAAGGACGGGTGACCAGCAAGTGATCCCCGGCAGGTGAGGACACTACGGATAGTAACACGCCTGCTGACGACGATCGACGTTTTTTTATACCCGTCATTCTGGAAAATTAGACTCCTCCTGAATGAGTGCTCTGGAAGCTGGCAGGTTTCCAGGAGGAAGTCACCGCAAGTCATAAAATGACAGGGATGGTGGGAGGAGGGCCTGAGCTGACTTGCTTCTGTCTGTGTTTTGAATTCTGAGGAGGAAGAATTCCAAGATGGCAGGAGGCTGGTTCCCTTTCACCCAGTATTCTTCACATATAAGCATGCTGTTTGCTTTTCACAGAAGCAAGCCAACGAAACTCGGTGTTCTTTGCCATCACCCCCCACGTGTGCAGGGAACAAGAAAACCAAGGTATTGTTTGAGCACCTCCACGAGATGCGGACAGAGCAGAGGTGTGCGGCAGGGCCTGCTCACTAGCTCTCTCCTAACCATCATTCCACCTCATCTAGTCACCCAGGCTTGCCAGCAGGATGCAGAGCCTCCCTAGCTTCCTTAGCTCTTCTTCCAGGAAGCCCTCCTGGGTTCCCATAATACCCTCTAACTTGGTCTTTGAAGGTCACACAGAGGAAGTTCCTGAAAGTAAGGGTCATTCTCAATTCACCTCTGTTCTCCAGCCATGAGTAATCCTTGTGGAAGTCCAGTAAATGTTGGTTGGATATACCCATCATATCATCACTGTGGGACACCCAAATTAAGGGGAACCCCTGCTTCCCGTGTGACTCCCTCACAACGATCCATTTCCTATATATTCTTACCATCCAGTCTTCCCAGTTAGCCCTGAGCAGTAACGCAACTGGTGTCAAATTAATGTTCTTTTGAAACAGCCTAGCGTCAAGTCTGCCCCTCTGTTAGGGTTCAACTAACGTCTCAAGCCGTATGCTATGGTCAAATCGCCCTGTGTCTCTGAGCTGTGTTCTAACCCATATCCTATGCTATCGTGAGAAGATGATGGAGAAAAAGCGCTCAGTTGCAAATATCTGCTTCCATCCCTGGTGACAGCAAGAGGGGGGATGAACAGGGTGACAAGTTTTAAACCCAGGTCCGGGACTCAGGTACTGTGCTAAGTACTCCCCCGTGGGAGATGGTGACAGGCAGAAGGCAGGAGGATGGTGGGACCCTGGTTCCTTACACAGTCCTCAGGATGGAGCTGGCAGACCTGAGAAGCAGCGCCTCTGGCATGGTCCCTGTGGGGTGGCTGCACCCCTCGAGCTCACCAGGGAGAGAGCGAGAACCTCAGAGGGCCTGTCACAGCGTCCCCTGGGGAAAGCCACCGCAGCCCCAGAGAGGCCCAACTCGACCGCCCTGCAACAGAGACACAGTGTGAGTCACTGCCCAGGCCTAGCAGGGCAGGGGCAGTTGTCCTCCTTTGAGGCATGACTCACCACTCCTGGGGCTGGGCACCTGACTGCATTTTACTGCCTTCTAAACCCACACATCCCTTCAACCTGGGAACAACACAAGCTCACAGGAGGTGGCTTCCTTGAGGCTCTGGGCTCAATATTCCCTAGAGCCAATTGCTCACGTGCAAGAGCAAAATCAATCAGATTTCCAAGACTCCTGCTTTGCAAAGACTCTGCCCACTGCCCAAGTCTCTGATACGTGAAATATTTGTCTCTGCTCAGAGACAAAGGGAAAACCAACTTCCAGACATCCTGAGAAAGTTCTCAATGAAGGTGTTACCTCAGCACCACCCTGCACCCTAAAAGCCCCAAAGACATGTTGGGGCTCCCTAAAGAAGGCCAAGTCCACACTTTGCCACCCTGTTATCTTATACACCAGACCTCACATCCCAACTTCCCTTTGGTTTATATGGACTGCCTTGTTTCAAAGATGAAACCTCTGACAGCTCTCTCCAGTCCTTACTCCCACCTTCCCAAGACCCCCACAGAATAGTCACAGCAGAGGACTTGCCTAGCAAGCCCGGCTCCAAACTCCCCGCTCACCTTCCGTTTCTTGGTGGCGGCAGGCTCAGGGCTAAATACCCCCTGCTCCTGCAACTATGGCATGATGAATCTGAGAACTGACTGCCGCAGTGGCCCAGGTTCCGGGTGATGAGCCACAAGGGCTGGGCATGAGTGGGGACCCGCCCCAGCCCGCCTTGGGGCTCCTGGCAAGGTGTGGCCCCAGGTACCTCTGACCTACATGGCATAGGACCTAACTTATGGCTCTTACATAAGTGGGGTGGGAAGCAGGACAGGGACAGTACTACAGACGGCTTGTTGACTGCGATCCCTCACAGAGCCTTGGAGAAATTACTCCTGCTACTGGGCCATGTACCTGACAGAGTCCACCCTGGGGGCCTCTGGGGCTGGGCCAGAAGATTGACTTGTTTATTCAGTTTGGTTTGGGGGGGTTCATTTTATGGTATCTAAATATACACACCTTATCAGATGGGCTGGGCTTCCCGTATCCACTATTCCACCTTGTAATGTCAGTGTTATTAATATCCCCATTTTCCAGATGAGTAAAAATGGGGCCTGGATGGGGGCCCAGAGAGTGCTAGATTTGCTCTGTGTTACACAGCCAGCAAGAGGCAGAGCCAGCGTGTTTAAACTGGCTCTCCACAGCTGGCT